TAAAAATAATCAGAAAGTAAAGTTTAATAAATTACAGATAACATGTTGAGTTAGAAGGTTTTAGATAAGGAAAGGATGAAAAGAACAGAGTAACATCCAGAAACTACTGCTTCATTTTCCCTTTTTCAGTTGATAAACAAAGTATGAACTAGCTTGGAAAAACAAGGGAGTTTCAAGACCGCACGAACCATGATAAATCCACATGTTCAGTGCTCACTAAAGACGTGAAAGAACAGCTTTGGAGCCAATCAACTTTCTGGAAAAAAATTAATCTTGTCAACTGATTGCTTAAGGAATGCAAAATGTTAACAGCATCTCATGTCAGATCTTGGCCCAGAGACCAGCTCAGAATGACTGAGGGTTAGTAACAAAAATACTGGGATTACTTTCATGGTTTAGGAAAAGTGAGACAGAGAGAGAGTTGAAGATTCTTATGTTAGCATTTTTTAAAAATGACAGAAGAGGATACAAACATTTCTAAACACATTGCTTCCCTTCAGAAGAAAGATAAATGTTTATCCAGAGCTCTGTGGCCTTTTAAATCTCAGAGAGTATTTCGTGGTTACAAAGTCCTCTGTTTTTAAAATTCCTTGACTGTGCACTGGGAGCTGGAGAGGATTATTTCAGCCCAGAACAGTTTCCTGTTGCTATAGAGAGTAACAATGAAGGTGGATAAAAGTGAGAAGTTTCTGTCTGGCCGATTTTCAGGAAAATCAAATTTAAGTCGCTAATGAACCTGACTTTTTAGATCGATATTTAGCAATTTTCTTAGAATTCTAAGAAAAATCTTAGAATTTCTTATGGTCACTTGACTTTTAGAGGACAGTTCTAGGGCAAAAGAGTTCACCTTGCAGAATAGTAAAGGTTTTAGTGTTGGATCAAGATTTTTTTTTTTGAACCAGATGATTCTGTGATAACTCTTATCCACACTCAAACCAAGGATTTGTTGAAAGAGAGTTTCATTAGAACGTTATTTATTTTATAAGGGGCAGAGATTTAAATAATTTAAGGCGTTCGTAAATTCAGAAATAGATGTTTCCAAACAAAGTATTTGCTGGAGGAATACAGCTCTTATCTGGGAAGTTGGAAACTTTCATTAGCTGTATGTAGTCTGATTCCAGAGTCTGTGGTACAAGAAATTCCCTAAGGCCTGACAGGCCCTGTGAAATCAGCTCTCCCTGAACTATTAGGGAATAAAAGACTGAAAGAACAAACGAAGTGGTAAATTTTAGAGGAGGTAGGAGAACTTAAAACCCAAGATTTCAAAGCGGATGATGTACATGTAAGTGACACATAGGATGTAGAGACAACAAAGGGCACCTGAAGAGTGTGGGAAATGGATGCAGACTTCTGAGTCCACTTCTGAGGTGGGAGCTGGGGAGGAGTGGGGCTACCACGGGTAGGGAGGCAGTGGAAATAAGAAAGAAGCTGGGATCATTCATCTCCGCCATCGCTAACTGGATATGCAAACTGGAAACAACAGGGTGGGGTAATCCTGAGAGAACGCTGGGAACAGTGTCAGAAACAGGGAAGGGAAACACTCCCAGGAAATGCCCCGCTTCTCTTGAATTACGCACCTCGGAGCTCTTGGATTTATCTAAACTGTCAAGGGAAGTGACTTGACTGGTTTCTCATAGGCGCTGTGGTGAGATTCACTGCAGTTCGAGTCCAGAATCATCAATGCAACGGAGGAGCGAGGAGCTGGTCAAGACCTTCCAGCTGTGGATGCAGTGAAGGCAGAGAAGGGAATGGCTCCGGATCAGAGAGGGGCACTAAACAGAGCCCCCTGCAGACTCCTGCTCATTGCCTGTTGCCATCCCCACAGCAAGGACCACCTGAGCATCATTTATAGGCTCAGCCCTATCTCAGCCTCAGGAGCTTGTTAGGAGGTAGCTAGAGAAAAGTAGCCCAAAACCTATTGAGCAAATTATCCAGCCCTACCGTCACCTGCTACCTTTAAGAACTCAGTTTTGCCTTATTTCTGGAATTAAGCTCTTGCTTCCTGGCCTGCCTCCAATTAGCAGGTCCCCATATCTGCCCTCCCCGCCTGAGTGCCACTGTTTAACCCTCCGGGTTGCAGCAGGATGGGATCTTGATTCGCTGTGATTAGTGGTCCCAGGATAGTGCCCCCCTGCTGGGACTTTGGGACCTTTTTCCTGATTCCCCGAAGTCCAGCTTGGAAGTTCCTTATTTCCCCTCTCCGATTCCCTGTGGCTAGAGACTGATTCCCTCCAAATAGGGCCCAGTGAGGTATCAGGTATTGCCTGCAGGAATTCTCAAACACCGATCGCTAGTCTCAGCTGTTCTCAGTACCTCCCAGCCACAGCCACAAAGGCTCCTAAGTCAACTTCCCCCTGGGTCTCAGCCTGTTCCATTTGCCTCCAAGGCTTGCTCTACCCTCACATTCATACCTAAGTCAGCCACCAGCGGGGTTCCTATTCCTGTCCCAGGGTGAGACAGCCACAAGGAGGGGCAAGGAAAAGCCATGGAGGCAGCCTCGAAGGCAGGCAGAGCTGGCAGGCAGATTCCAAGGATGAAGAAGGACTAATAAGGGAACAAAGCACTTGGCTGAACATGGAGGTGCCACTTCCCTCCCCTGATCTGGGTCACAGCTGTCACTCTTCATGCCCAGCCCGCCTGCTTCCTCAAGGAGCCTGAAATCAACCTTCCTTAAACATGGTTATGTTTGAAATCCAAACCAACCTCCGGGGGAATGAGTTTCATATGGTAACTAACCCGCAGTACAAAGAAGGAGCTTATTTACCCTTGATTGATATTTACAAGAATTTAACCTGCATTTGGGACCATTCTCATCTGATGCAGTATCTCCCGACATATTTATGCTAACACAAGAAGATGTAGTCCACTCCATGGGAGGGAGGGAAGCAGGGACTGATTAAATCAGTCCTTCCTCCAGCTTCCATTCTTGGCCTTTTGGTGCGGCCTGAGTTTGAAATTTCTACCCCGTGTCAGTATAATGTAATTACAGTGTATTTACTCTGCCTTGACCTAGAAAGAATTTAAAGGGGCCCACCAGGTAACATGAAATACAAGATGACAGCAGCTTAAGATGAGACTGAAACAAGCCACCATGTATAGTTTTGCATGTTGGGCACTGTGCAACTCTAGACAGCATCACTTGCTTCTATAATCATAACAGATTTATGTATTTATTACAACACTTTTCCAGCAATTATTCTGAGAAAAGAAGGCTCTGGGCGTGTGGTAGGACAGCATGTGTTCCTCTTCCTCGGTGTCCAGCCTACCCTTTGTGGGGCCATCTCTAGTAATAAAATGAAGTCCTACAACTCTGAGCTGACTCTGAGCTGTCTCTGAGCATAGCTTCTCCCCATGTCCTGCCTTTATGCTGTCTTTTTCTCTCTTTCTGAAGACTCTAGCCCCTCTAAATAATAATTATAATAATGTTTATTACATTTTTTAATGCCAAGGCACTGTGTGAAGCAGCCTCTCCTATATTTTCGCATGCAATTTCAGCTGAATGTAAGGAACTTCTTGCTGCATATTTCGGGGTCGCACAGCTAGTCGGTGCCACCAGAAATCCAGGCTTGTGCACGTCAAGTTGGTGCTTCTACTGCCAAACAATCTTCTGTTGCGACGCGATCCCATGTTTTATTTGTGAGTCCAAGCTTCTTTTTAACGATGAAACATTGGGTTACACAAAGGAGTCAGCAAGAGTTCATCATAAAGAAGGAAATCAGCTATGTTTTGATTTTTGCCTTCTCCCCAAAGCCCCTTCAACTCAGAAGTTCCCAGAAAAGGGGGGAAGGTATAGCTCAGTGGTAGAGTGCATGCCTAGCATGCATGAGGTCCTGGGTTCGATCCCCAATAACTCCATCAAAAATAAATAAGTAAACCTAAATACCTCCCCCCACAAACAAACAAACAAACAAAACCACACAAAGACAAATGAACTTAAATATAAACTGAAACAGACTCACAGACATAGAATACAAACTTGGGGTTGTGGTTGTTGGTGGGGGAGGGTGGGAAGGGACAGACTGGGAGTTCAAGATTTGTAGATACTGACAGGTATATATAGAATAGATAAACAAGTTTATACTGTATAGCACGGGGAAATATATATGGTGAAAGAGAATATAAAAATGAATATATGTATATTCATGTATGACTGAAAAATTGTGCTGTACACCAGAAATTGACACATTGTAAACTGACTATAACTCAATTATAAACAAATAAATAAATAAATTCCCAGAAAAAAAAAAGAAGAAAGTAGAACTTTCAAACAAATAGAATCTCAGACCCTCTTCCCCTGTGATACTTAATAGGATTACCCACCAGGCATTTGAAAATAAATGCTACTCATTCTTAAACTGTTTTCTCAGGGGAAAAGCAGAATGTTCCATGGAAAAGGCAGCATCCGCAGAGCAATCTTACCCATCTTCTGATTCTGGGACATCGCTGTATTTGCAACAGTTAGAAAATGTAAGCTGTTTTAAAATCAAAAGTTTAGGTTGTCTTTGATTTGTAAACAGTTTTTTAAAAAACACACATTTTATGTGCAACTTTCAAATAATATTTTCATCTCCTTATGAAAGCCATATATGACCACTAATTTAAAAAAAAGCCATATATGACCACTAAATTAAAAGAATTAAAAAAAGGTGGTCTCTCCACTAGAAATAACAGATACTAATATGTTATCTTTTTATTTCTCTCTCTTTATTCTTTTAATATAATTTAGGATATTATGTGCATGCTTTGAAGTACATTGTTTTTACTCATTATAGTGTGTCAGTCCTGCTAGAAATGGATCTATTTTATTAGCTATTTCAAAAATTCTCCTTTCAGTTAGGGCTTTGAGCATCCTCATTATAGATTGCTTTCTATGTCATTAATTTCCTCCCTTCTTTTCCCTTATCTTTTCCTTGGCTTTTTCTGTGGGAACAAAGCTTTTGAGTTGTAGACTTTGCTAGACATCTACCTGATACCCATTCCTCCTGGTCTCATTTATTCAGGGCAACAAAGTGTCCAGCTAAAAACCATCACTTTCCTGGGCTCATTAGAAGAAGACACGTGACGCAGTTCTGAGATGTGAGTGGCAGTCTGCTGGGGGCATCAAGGAGGGCTTCCCACCTGGGACACATGTGGCCCTGGGTGAGGTAAAGAGCAGAACAAGAGCCTCGGCTCAAGTTGAAGCAGGAAGACAGAAGAAGGGGAGCCTGGGCCCGAGACATATCATCCAAGAGTTCTGATTGCCCATTCTTGGCGTGTTGGTGGAATGAAACCAAGAACCCCCATCTGTGAAATCCATTTTTCAAGTTCTTTGTTGATTTGCACCAAATGCAGACACTGGTACCCCTAGAGACAACAATGAGATGGCTTGTCATCTTTTTCTGTCTCTTGAAGCGACCTTTTCAGACAGGGAAAAAGCTCATGGAAATGGAAAGCTAGAATTAGGAGGCCCGGTGACCATTTAATTTCCCAGTCACTCCCTGAGTCACTCTGGGTGAATCACTGTGTAAACAGGTGTGTGAGTCATCTGTATCTGCATAACCCATTAACACAAGTCAGGCTGTAGACAAGACACGTTTATTCTCCCACAGTTTCTGTGGGTCAGGAGTCCAAGCATGGCTCACATGGGCTTCTGCTCCAGGGTCTCATCAGGTTACCATCCAGGTGTCATCCAGCGCAGGGGTTTCTTTTGATGACTGGGCGGCAGAAGGGCCCCCTTTTAAGTTCATGAGGTCCTTGGCATCTAATAAATTCAAATCCCACAGGGTGACAGGGTAGCATCCCATATTTGACTGATCAGAAGCGAATCACAGGTCCTACCCACACTCAAAGGGAGGGGATATCATAAGGGTATGTGGATGATTGGGGACCATAAGGTACAAGAGTGAGAAATGATGTGGGTAAATATGACAGTTAACATTCCAAAGGCTGTGGTTTTCATCCACATTCTTTTCAGAGGCAGTAGAGAAGATGGAGCTTCTTACAGCATTTTTCTTCATCTCCTAGTAACTCTCTCTGGTTTTAAAGTCCTCCTGGAGTTAGCTACAGATATTACCCATCAAAGGATATATTTAACATTTAATATTTATTCAGAATCTTGCATATCAGTCTACACTATTGGGAATTTTTGAAAAATTTAATTCTCATTCATCTGACCCTAAAATTGAGAACATACCCTTTGTAATTTGAGATTGAAGGGTATTTGATAAAGTAGATAACCAGCAAACATTTTTTTTTACTCCACACACCAGCATCTTTGTTGAGTAGCTCACTACTCAACAAGGATGCTGACAGCCATAGAAGTTCCACACAGTTTTGGCTCACTCGTAAATATAAATGGACAGCCAGAGTTACCTGACATTGGAGGAAAACACCTAACCCATAATACAGAGAAAAAAAAATATAAAGGAGAAGAGGATAGCACAATCCTGAGAATCAGAGGAAGCTGCAAAAATTACTATAAATAATATACTCAGAGAAATAAAAAAGTATTGCATCAATGGAATACTATGCAGCCATAAAAATAATAAAATAATGCCACTTGCAGCAACATGGATGGACCTGGAGATTGTCATTCTAACTGAAATAAGCCAGAAAGAGAAAGAACAATACCATATGATGTCACTTCTATATGGAATTTAAAAAAAAAACAAACAAACTTAGTTACAAAACAGAAACAGACTCAAAGACATAGAAAACACGGTTACCAGGGGGGAAAGGGGGTGGGGTGGCTCAGGTCTAAGGCGGGTGCTGTGAGAGACCCTACCCTGTAGTCAAGAAAGACATACCCCCTCAACTAGCTTAGGGAAAGGGGCACTTACTTGCCTCCCTTACTTGGGAGAAACAGAAGTGGAGCGGCCTTGAGCAAGGTGGGCTCTAAGGACTCAGGAGCGTGGTCAGGGCCGGCCTCTCCCCCTTCACCTGGGGTGCCAGTGGGTGGACTCATGGAGACAGGCCTCTTCCATGTGTGGCGGAAAGATGCACAGATCACGTCCATATAACAGCCGCAGAACTGAGGACAGACTACCAGGCACATTGCAAATACCAGGTCACATGCCCACCCTCGGGCAGATCGTGGTGTCTAAAAGGAGGGTATTAGGACCAACCAGCCAGTCAAGTCTGGGTGGGATACTGCACAGGGCTGGAGCACATGGAAGGAGGGAAAGATTGTGAGGAAGAGGAGAAGGTGTGAGCCGAAGGGCTGGGTGGACAGAACACATGTTTCCCCCACTCCCCACCCCTGATGCCTTGCCCTGTGAGGAACCTGCTCATCCTGGAGCTGGAGCAAGTCAAACCATTTTTCCCCTTCTCCTCCTTGGAAGACATTTGTCTTATGCAAGGAGATGCTGGGGGTGCTCTGTTGTAACTGAGAAAGACCCTGTGGAGGCTTCCAGGGTCAGACCCTCCCCCATATCTTCTGCTGCAGCCCCTCTGAAGCACCCAGATCATAGTATCTCATGTGAATTTCCTGAAATTTTCAGATGCTAAAAACAACCACCAAAGGGAAGAAATGAAGTACTTGATGATGAAGAGCACGTGGCTCCCAGACCTGCTGGCTTCTGGAGGGTGATGGTGTTGACGCCCTGTTCCCTCCACGTCAACCAGTCAGAAGACTGTGCACGAGCTGATCACACACCCTGTGACCCCCTGCCTCACCTGGCCTTTAACTACGCTTTGCTGAAAGCCTTCGGGGAGTTCAGGGTTTCCTTAGTCATGAGCGACCCCATCCTCCTTGCTCAGCCCTGCAACCAGCCTTCTCTCCTCCAAACTGGGATGCGGTTTGTTTAGCCTCAGGATGCGCCAGGCACAGGAACTTGCCTTCAGTAACACTGTTTTTAATCCTCAGTAAAGTTGATGCTCTTTTTTTTTATTCTCCATCAAAGGGGGAGACTAATAATTTAGGAAAACCCTGAACCTATGGATTTGAGCTCTGATCTCACTCCCGCTCCCTACCCCCACCCTCCTCCTTTTCTCCTCCTCTCCGGCCTCCCTTCCCTTCCTCTTCCCTTTCCCTCCCTTTCTGTCTCTCTCCACCCCCTTCTCCTGGTAGATTTACTTAATTTCTTGGCTCACCAGCTGGATTCACATGTGAACAGATGTTTTGATCAATGACTTTGTCTAAGTGCTAAAAGTCACCAGTAGCAGGTTAAACCCAGCAGGCTAATAAAAAGTGCCCCCAAGCGCAAAGCGAAGGTGACAGTAGTCCTTGATTTTTCTGCTTGTTTGTTATTACATTGTTTTCAGGTACCTTTGTCTCTTGCTAGCTGCA